CCTTGCCCACATTCCCTGCACACATAGGGCTTCTCCCCTGTGTGTGTCCTCTGGTGCTGGATGAGGTCTGACTTCTGTGTAAAGCCTTGCCCACACTCTCCATTTTTGACTCTTACAATTCTTGACATTTCTACCCCCACCAATATTTTGTCTGTGTCCTCTGGATTAATTTCCTGGTCTGCTTTGAGGTCATCCTCCATCATTCTCTCACTCTCTTCAGATCTCCCCATTTGTCCTTTGGGTGGGCTAGAAATTCCCCTCTGCCTTGTCCCTTTATGTGTGGGTTTCAAACTTCCTTGGACTTCTTGACCTCTGGCTTTGTCATTCCAGCCGTGTGGATCAGGATGTTGCTGTTCCTGAAGCTGATCTCTTGGAGAAGAGTCCCCTGGTATGAGTTTTTTTCTCATAGATGTTCCTGGGAAGATCTGAGACGGGTGACTGCGATCCACGTGCTGACTGAGGAATTTCTGACTGGAGAAGGCCAGAGAGCATGAGGGACAAGGATGGATCTCTGGCTTTGGTTCTGCTGAAAGAGGAAGTTATTGGTCAGGGCAGATGTAGACAAGCTGTCTGCGCATCTTCTTTGCTGTGTGGCAAGGCCTGCGTCACTACTCAGTCTTTATGTGCTAAGAACACAAGCTGTTTCCCCCCACAGTGTATTTTTCTAGTCCATTTTTATTTTATTTTATATGCTCAGAAATCCAGAAAGCCCAGGTCAAGGGCCTTTTCTACATGTCAGCCAGACTAGGGACCTTCCAGTAGCATCAGAGGCAGCTTCTCTGCCTCTGATGGGGCTGCAGTGACCATGCCCCACATGCCATGACTCTCTTGTAAGACGTGTCCGTCTTGCCCAGCCATCCTCTGCCACTCCCCACACCCTTGCATATAGATTCCTGAACACATTTCCTGATACTCTGTCTGCAGCTATTTCATTCTATTGAGAAATAACACTTGATGAATTAGGTAGAACTTTCTTCAGTGACTTTTCCTAGAGAGGAAAAGGATCTGTTTATTAGCTAGGATCCTCTCATCCTGGGAATCTGCAACTGTGGGAGGCCACATAGAGGTGTATCAGTCAGTCTGAATTTCAGCCCTCCAATCAAAAAGAAAGACGTAGTTGAGGAGTGTTATATGCCTGTCTCTCAATGAGGACAAGAGAGTGTGGCCCAGAACCCACTAACTAAGGGACTGTGGCTTCCGCTGTGCAACAGCCATGAACTGCTTCTCTCTCCATGCTCCACAAATCATGAAGTGAAAATATGCCCTTCCCCAAGCCTCACAGCAAGCATTCATTTTTTGAGCTATTTAACTGTCTTAACCCATTACAAACACAACAGGAATTTCTGTTTCAAAATAGATCCTAATCGGTTGTCTTCCCTCTCTGACTCTCACCTTCTCCCAACCTCCTACCTTCTCACCTAAAGGCTGAAGTAGCATCTGAGGGATCACACACTGCAGTCATGAGTTAGCCACAGCATCATCTTAGAACAGAGAACCAAAACTGCAATTGTCACCATCTCCAGGTCTTGGCACAAGTCATAGGTCTCCACATTTCCAGGCCTCCATGTGTCTTTGTTCTCTGCTTCCTTTACCTGAGTGGTCTCAGCCAGTCACCAAATACCAAACCTTTCCTGCCTCAGGGCACTTTCAGGAGCTGCTCTTTCTGCCTGGAGTCCTTTACCCACAGCTATTTGCACCTCTCAAATTTTATCTCCTGGGAGGAGCTTCCCTGACCATATCTGCTATGTTACCCTCCCCTCACATGGATTCCTAAGTACTTTCTGTAGGTTAGTTTTCTTGGATGTGTCAGGTACAAGCCTGCATGAGAACATGTGTTTCTCTAATCTATGTGCCAGCTGCCTGAGAGCAGTCATTCTCACTGTCTGTTCAATTTGCACGGTTTAGTTCCCGGCACAGAGGAGGCTCACTAGCTGACATAATGAATAAGTAACAACACATGCACATTATTTAGAGATTTAAAGGAAGTTAAGGGAAACATATGAAAAGGCCAGGAGACACTGGCTCAGTGAGAGAGCACGCAGGGACTTGAGAATTTGCTTTAGTCTCTAAGCACAATATGGTCTTATATGTTAAGTACTTAAAGTACTTACACATTAAAAATAATATTTTAAAATAAAAAGATGGTTCCTAAGAGTCAAAGGCTTATGACATTAATCTTTAATTTCTGAAGTACCTGTTTGAAATTCTTACTGGCTTTAGATAGCCTATCACTCTACTTGAGAGCTAAAACATGAAAATTCTCAGGGAGAATTATTTCTTTCCTTTGTTTTAAGGAATCATAGTGGCCCACCTCTCCCTGCTGAGAGCTCTTTCTTCCACTTGCTGCCCCACTTGATGCCCAGCTCTTGGCCGTACTCGTCCCCATACCACACCAGCAGCTCACAGCCTGGCCTGATGACCCGGCAGGTTCGGTAGAAGATCTGTCTGTGGTACTGAAAGGCTACCAGGTTCTGCTCCTCGTCATCCCGGGCACAGTTCACATACCTGGCATTGAGACAGGCAAAGGGAAGGAAGTACTAGGTGGTCAGTTACCCTCCCTGTCAGGTCTGTGTCTGTCCCTTCACCTGGTGGTCACTGCTTCTGTGCTCTGGTGATGCCATCCCCACTTCCTCAGGAACCTTTTCTGCCCCAGTCTCTTTCACCAGGTCATATGCTCACAGTGCTCACCTGGCCTAGAAGTCTTTCCCTTCACCTAAGCCCAGTTCCAGATGTCCCTCGAAGGCCACCTCGAAGGCCATACTACCCAATGATCTGCAGGTTCTCTGAATGCTCATGACTTTCTGCCACACACCACAGAACTTGGTGCTGGCCATGTGCTGTGATTCTAGATTACGCCTGAGTCATCTTCTCTGGAGAGGGCTCTCTGCTGCCTGCCCAGGTGCCATTCACCTGCCTCACCCGGGTTCCCATAGAAAATCAGGGGTCTCTTTGTCTTACTGACAACACCCTATTCATGGGCTCTATCCCCTGGTAAAACAAGAGCCCTCATGGTAAAGGGCACACAGCATGGGGACCCTCGGCCCCCTAAGGCTTGCTTCTCCTCAGGCTCAGACCCAGTGTTAGTGGCTGAGGCTATCAAGATTTCTTGCTTACAGATTTAAGGTCCCTTTTAGGTTGTCCTGGAACTGTGTACTTTTCAAAAATGAAACAAAAATAATAATAAAACAAAAAAATCCCAGGAAAAGTACAGTTAAATGTTCCTATAATAAAATGCCTCATGTTTGTCTGCCACAGTCCCGCACACGGACATGGGTTGTATGATCTGTTCAAATAACAAAGTCTGCTCTTTGAACTGGAACACACTAAGTGATTAATAACTTTAGAAAAAAGTATTAATCCGGTTTCTCAAAGGAATTTAGGCTGCTTGAGCTTCATCTCAGTGTCCCAATTTTGTCTAGCACGAAGATTTGCGTTTTTGATAAAAAGTAAATTATGGTATTTATATTTTATTTCTCTTGTCCCAATGTTCATGATGTGAAAGAGTGATGTGCAAGAAAAATGAGGAAGAGACGCCTGAGAACCACTGAGGGGGCCTGAGGAGAAGGATAGGAATAGCCCTCCCCAGAGCCCAGGGACCTCCTGGCCTTACCTCATCCAGTTGGCCTGAGATTCATCCTTTCCATCCACATACTCATAGCAGTTCCTCCCCTTGGTGATCTGGGTTTCAGGAAAACAAGTTAAAGCTCTGAGAGGTGATAACCAGCACAATCATGTCACTCTGCTTTCGTGGATGCTCTTTGAGGGGTGCGCAGATTCAGTCACGCCTTGGGACCACACAGTACATCCCTAGCCATCATCCACATACTATGATGATTTTCCTGGCAGAGCAGAGGCACCAATCTGTCTCTACACTGCTTTGCTCCCACTTACCCTCTAATTTTGAAGGGGTTCCATATGCATGCAAAGATCCTCGAGCCCACAGAGCTAACCATGTTGCCCTGTCCCTGTCCTTACACATCACACCACAGCTAGAAGACAGGGAAGGGAGGCACTCACCAGCCAGGAGTACCCGCTATTGGCTGCCTCTTCATCCTCTGTGATCTGGCCCCTGTAGGGGCCAAAGTGCAGACCCAGTGGCAGATCAGTTGCCTCATTCCACACACCTAGCCCAGCCTCTGGGATGCTTGATGGTCCAATTCTCAGCCCGAGGGGCAGACTGAGGGTCGAGTGATTGGAATGGTCCTTGTTGACCACACTGTCCTTTATGAATGTAGGGGGCCCATGAACAGGACAGCTGTCCATGAAGAAGTTCTGGCACTTATCACAATCTGAAGTGAGAGTAGCAGGTGTTAGGAAAGGTAGGCACACATTCCTGTATATAAAGAGTTTTAGAAAGAGTACAGCACCATGCTATTCCCACTCAATCCTGCACTGTGGGTCAGTAGAGGAAGGGAGAGATGTGAGGCCTGAATGGCAGGACAGATTATTGCACCAGAACACAGCAGCTTCTGCATGAGTGGGCCAAGGGGTCACTTACAGAGGTAGTCATCATCCTGGGGCTCGCTGACTTCTTTGTATGCATGGCCCTTCCTTTCTCGCAGGCTGTACATCTTCACTTCAACCTCCTTTGTCCTGAGTTCTAAGTTGGAGAACAGAAGGTGAGTGAAGCTGGAAATCTGGAGGGTTTGTCCCTATTTCTCCAGAAAATGGAATAGCTCCTACCATCAAATCATCATCTTTCCTTCTACATACTCTGCCCCTGCTTAACTACTGGTTCATAGAAACTACGGTTCCACATTCACACTCACTCAGATGCCTAAGGCAATTTTAATGTCTGGCTGTCCTCATTTTCATATTTCTATTTGCCCAAACTTTATACCTAGAAAAGGGTTCATTCAACATATTCATTCATTCACAAAATATTGGTAGAGGGCACATGGCATGTAAGGCATTGCACAAAGGCAGAAACACAACATTAAGGAAGTGTGGTCCCACAGGTAGATCTACTGGACCCCTGGTGTGTATCAGCAATTTTACTCAATGCTTTCAAACAACATATGAACTATGTATCCTTATCCTCATTTTACAGATTAGCATTTAGAATCTCACCAAGTTTATAAGATCAAAGCAAGGTCCCAGTGTTTCTATGTGGACAATAAACCACCCATGTGGCTTCAGAGTCAATGTTTGTACCTGCCGATCAATATGAACCCAAGGTCCAGTCCCTCAGCCTAGTCAGCCTCTCCAAGTTCAGGCCTCTCCAAGGTCTGCCTCACATATCTAGACCATCTCATGAACCCTTCTAGAGGAGCTGGAAAGACTAAAGTCCCGTATTATTTTCTCTTACCTAATTTTCGTCTAGAGTGCTGTCTAGAGGCACTTGCTTCTCTGAGAGGCGACACTGGTTTCTGGACTTGTTCTGAGCCACTTGTGTTCAGTAAATTTGCTGTTCCTGACAATTCTTTCAAACTAGATTCATTACTTAACAGCACCTCAGGCTTCAATGAGAGTCGCATATGAAAATACAATACACATTTCTTTAGTTCTTAAGATCTTATGACATATTTTCTGATGTATGATTTTGGTTAATGCTTCAGTAACCCTTGGGACTTCCTGAGGGGTCTGAATACTGAGGTGAAAGGAAGAGCCTAAGTAGTCTGTGATCCTGGACTTGTCCCATGTCCCAAGGCTCTTTCCCTTCAGTTTTCCTTGAGATCCATGCACTTGAGACAGAGGAAGGGAGAATACCTGGAAGACCAGCTATAGTCTGTGAATGAAGGGCTCACACTTGTAGAGAAAAAGAGGGTATCATCTGCAATGGGAGGGGAAATGTAGAAAAAGCCGAGGGGCAGAGCACACTCAGAAAATAGAGTAATAGTGATAAGGCTGGGAAGATAATGAAGAAATGTTGGCAGAAATGGTTCTGGAAAACTGAGAGAGAAATGCTGAAGGTTGCAAACTGCCATATCTTGGAAGGAGTGTTTGGCTTTGTGATTGATTAACTGGTTCCTGCACCAGTTTTGCTTGAGTAAGGGTGCACTATTCACCAATGTTCTTCAGTTTTCTGAGCCATAAATTAGCAAAATGCTAGTTATTAATATGATAGTGAACATGAAATGTAAGCGTTCACCAAAGTGTTTTGTGTACTATTGAAAGTAGTATTAATGTGGGTGGTCATTTCTTCCACAAGTCTATGTCAATTTTGCCCCCTCAACCACATCTACATTTGAAATGTAGCTCAAGGGTATTGTCTTCAGCATTCATTAGCCCTGTCACTTTTAGTTTAATTTGTAAAGTTTGAATTATTCAGATAACATAAAAGGGTCTGGGATTTCTAAGGAAAGCCAGGTGTAGACCAGTCTCTCCCAGAGCTCATGCACAAAGGCAGCAAGTTGTTACTATTCTTATTATCTTTTAAAATGATGGTGATGACAAACACTGTCATGTGATTGGGAAGGATGCTTTGTGTTTTTTTTCTCTTACCTGTGTTTGCATCTATGAGGAAGATTTTCTGGCTAACAGAACTTAGAAGACACTCACCTTCTGGGGTTTACTCTGTTCTACTCTGGAGGCCACCCAAGGAGGTTTAACTAAAAGGCAATGAGAAATCAGTGTTTTTGTTGGAAAATGTTTCCAAACTCTGGAGATTCTGATTAGGAGCAGAAAAATGCTACACTAATCAATATCAATACCAAGGATGACATAAAGGTGATATACAAACAGTATCTAAAGTATCACTCAATTCTTTCCTTCTGTTAGGAACATCATCAACTTTTATTTTTTGGTACCAGGGACTGAACTTGGGGCAATTCAAGAGCTGGGCCACATCCCCAGCCCTATTTTGTATTTTATTTAGAGACAGGGTCTTACTGAGTTGCTTAGTGCCTCACTTTTGCTGAGGCTTGTTTTGAACTCATTATCCTCTTGCCTCAGCCTCCTGAGATGCTGGGATTACAGGCACATGCCACCATGCCCTGATATCATCAATTTTTAAATATCTTTTTTTAGCCCCAGGGATTGAACCTAGAGGTGCTTAACCACTGAGCCACATCCCAGCCCATTTTATTTTTTATTTTGAGACAGGGTTTTGCTAAGTTGCTTAGGGTCTCACTAAGTTGCTGAGACTGGCTTTGAATTTGTGATCCTCCTGCCTTAGCCTCTTGAGCCAATGTGATTACAGGTGTGTACCACCATGCCTGGTTCTTTGAATGTCTTTAAAAAATAGACAAACTTCATCTCGGATTTATCCTATGTTCATATATATCTAGTATTTTAAAGAATATTTGGACTTTTATGACAAAAATGCAAAACAAACCAGGAATCAAAGGAAATTACCTCCACATGAAAAGGTCATGTAGGATGTCATGATTTAGATGAGGTATTTCCCCAAAAGCTCATATGTGAAACAATGCAAGAAGGTTTAGAGGTGAAATGATCGAGTCACACATCAATCCACTGATAGAATTAATGTGAGGTGACTGTAGGCAGATAGGGTGTGGCTGGAGGAGGTGGGTCACTAGAAGTGTGCCTTTGAGGTTTATTTTTTGTCCCTGGTAAGCAGAGCTCTCTCTCTCTGTCTCTGTCTCTCTTTCTCTCTCTCTTCTTTCTGGTCACCGTCCACACCTTTCTGCCATAATGCTCTGCTTCATCTCAGGGCAGAGCATGGATTTGGCCATCTCTACACTGAGACCTCTGAAATCATGAGCATCAAATAAACTTTTCCTCCTCTACTTTGTTCTTGTCAGGTCTTTTCTGTGACAGTGGTGAAAAAATTGACTAAAACCTAGGAGAAACTCACATCAAATGTATTCAGTGATAAAATACTGTCCTCTAAGGTCAGAAAAAGGCATGAATTCCCCCTCTCACTACTTCTACTCTTCTAACAAAGCATAAAAAACCCCCCACAAAGTATTTAGGACATACTTTGCCAAGGGTGAAAAAGTCTTAAAGACTAAAAACTATGACCTTTTAATGAAAGAAATTAAATACACAAACAAATGGATTTAGAAGATTGAACATTATTAATTTCCATACTATCCAAATGGTCTACAGATCCAATGTCATCCTATAAAAATACTAATGCCATTTTTTGCAGAAAATTTAAAAAATAAATACAGAATCTCAAGGGACCCCAGAATAACCAAAACAATCTTGAAAAAGAAGAACAAAGTTGGAAGTTTCACACTTCCTGATTACAAAGCTACATCATTCAAAACAGTGTGATAGTGACATAAAGAAAGAGATATAGACCAAGGGAATAAAATGAGACAGGTTAAAAAGACTTTCTGCATATATGGCTAAATTAATGTTTCTCAAAGTTGCCAAGACTCCACAATAGGACAAATAATCTCTTCAAGAATCAGGTTGGGAAAACCTGATATCTACACACAAAGGAATGAAGAATGGCCTTTGTCTTAAAAATATACAGTTGTACCATCATATTTGTGGATTCCACATCCTTGAAATCAACAAATCATAAATAAAAATATTTGAAAAAAGCTGGGTGTGGTGGCCCATGCCTATAATCCCAGTGACACAAGAGGCTGAGACAGGAGGATTGCAGGTTCAAAGCCAGCTTCAGCAACTTTGCAAGGGCTGAATATCTAAGAGATAGCAACACACTGTCTCAAAACAAAAAACAAAATGACTGTGGATGTAGCTCAGTGGTTAAATGAAATGCATCTATGCTAAAAATGTACAGATGATTTTTCTTTTCCTTATTCCCTAAGCAATACAACAAGTATTTGCATTGCATTTACATTTCATTAGGTATTATAAGTCATCTAGAGATGATTTAAAGTGATTGGGAGGATTATATAGGTTACATGCAAATACTACAGCATTTGATTCTTCAGTATCCTCATGTTTTCAGTATCCTCCTGGTAGACAGGAGGGGTTCCTGGAAACAATTCCCCATGGATAGGGACAATTAAAATAAAAATTATCTCAAAATGAATTAAAGAACTAAGTATACAACCTGAAACTATAAAGCCATTGGAAGAAAAAAAAAAAGGGAAAATCCATGAACCTGGACGACATTTGCTAAGTAAAATATGTCAGTTTCCAAAAGATAAATGCTTCGTGATCCCACTTATATGAAGTACCTAAAGCAATCAGATTCACAGAAACACAAGTAGAATTTTGCTTGTCAGAGTTTAGGGGGAAGAGGAAACGGGGTGTTGTTGATTATGGCTGTAGACAATTTCAATCACATACCACACGTATATAACTAACAATGTTGTACACTTAAAAATAGACAGAATGGTGATTTTATGTTGTATGGTTTCTTGCCACCATGTATAAAAATGATGAATTTATTAGGTTGTAGATTTTACCTGGATCCAGAGGGATAGAGGTATGATAAACCATGGGGATACGTTCTCCATGAAGACTGTATTTTCATCTTAATACCTTTACAGACAAGTAAACATTGATCCTTTAAATGTCTTACACAATTTTTAAGAGCCTAAGGCACCTAAAATCCATAGATGAGAAATCATAGACATAATCCAAATTGCTTTATCCAGTTTAGGCATATTGTATCTTCTTCTTCTTCTTTTTTAAATATGTATTCTCTAGCTGTTGATGAACCTTTATTTTATTCATTTATTTATATATGGTGCTGAGAATTGAAGTCAGTGCCTCACACATGTCAGGCAAGTGCACTACCACCGAGCCACAAACCCAGCCCCTTGTATCTTCTTTTAAAATTTCCTGTCCAAATAGTGGAAGAGGAAACAAGCTTCTTTCTATTTTTTAATGATTGTATGTTATTTTATTTATCGGATGCTGGCTCTGAGCATGACATGAGAGAAAGATCAGGAAAATTAAATAGCTCCCTCCAACCCTCTCTAAGATTTAAGTCAAGGGCTTAAGGATCATGTGGTGTGATTAAAAATGCATAAGAAAATATGTATTTCCCCTAATATATTAATAATTTTCTCTTCTAAGACATTTAATCCAATAACCAAACTATTAGATTCATGTTAACAAACTTTAAGGGAGGCTTGGAGTTTAATTAAGCTGTTTTAAATTGTCTTTTGATTAACAAGTATAACAAAAATTGTTTTCAAAAAGAATGATAAATTCAAAACATGTAAGTATGGAGAATGATACTGCAGACCCTATTCATCCTTCATGATTCAGTCTGGTCTCAGTGTTCTTCCATATTCTGAAGATTCTTCAGATCTTTTTATTTCTATTTCAAAATTTTAAAATGAGAATAAAAAAAACCAACCAAGCCACCTTCCAGAATTTCCTCTTTATGACATTCATTTTTCTGGACTTGATTTTCATATTCATATATGAAATACACAATATTCACATTTTATTATATTTCCCACTTATTGTGTGTACATGTACACACATATTATATACAGTTTTTTCACACATCTAAAAATTTTATGGGAATGTCTTCTTAGTGTATATAGTCTTGCATCTTACTCCTTTGCTGACACTTGTTTTTGAGGAACTACTAGTTTCTTATTAACTTCTGAGACTAAACCTGGTATGGTTTCAGAAGGCAAGCTCTAAAGCTTCCTGGCCTCTCACCTTGTTGTCTAGGTGTCCATTCTTCATCAGAATCCTCAGTGTCATCCATCTGCAATTTGATGGTTTGCCTTTGGTGACACATGAAAGCTGGTCGAGGGGCTCTGAAACCTGGAAAGAAGCAAAATCCTTCTCCTAAAATGGAAGTGCTGGGAGGAGGAAAAAGGTCAATGACAATAGAAAGTTCCAGAAAGGCTACGCAGTCTGGGAGAGTCAAGGTGGGATTGCTGCGTGGCCAATGCTGCACTTACTTAGGCCTGCACTGACACAAAAGAACAGTCTCCTTCCAGATTGTCTCCAAACAGAAGGGAACTATAGGCAGCTCTAGCCCCTAAGAGAGCCAGCATAATACAAGGACTAGAGATCTGTATTTTGTTTCCTAGGCCCTCTTATTACCTATAGATATCAGCATATTATAGTTCCTTTTCACATTCCTATAGCGAATTTTCTCCCACTCTCCCATCTCTGCCCATTCTTCCTTGGAGAAGTAAATGGAAACGTCTTTAAAAGCATCTTTAACCTGGAGAAAAAAGAGATTTCTTGTGAAGTGACAGCATACATCGGAACAAGATCTTGGCCTTTTCTTTCACTGTGCATGCAGGGAATAGACTGGCACCTCTGGGTGGTCTCTGTGAATCAGGGTAAAGAGTTTCCCCTGCTGCAGATGCCTCTTTAGCAGAACAGGCACTGGTTATCGTCCTAGTTTCCATGGAGCAGTTGCTGATGTGCCTCCCCCTCCTTCCTGTATCCCAGGAGTCATCATCACATCCCATTTCTGCTTTCACTGGAAGGGCCACCAGGTGTGCATCCCAAGGCCCTATTGCTTTTGGTCCCCCCTCCCTCCCTCCCACAGACCCTTTCTGGAGTTTTGCTTTGCCTCCCATATTCTACCTTGGGCTTCCTCTCAGGCCTCCCTAAATCTCCTTTGGTGCTCTCATCTGGGGACCCGTCAGTGGCACTCATGGTGCTGCACAATGCCCTCTGGGCGGGCTCAGCCTTCTGTGGAAGAAGAAGGAGCTGAGAGTTGTCCTCTCTACCAGCTGGTGTGCGCAGGGCAGGGAGGGGGTTTTAAGAGGAGAGGATCTGGGTGTGGATCCACAGGCAGCCAGGCTGTGTCTTCAGTCCTGGCCCTTTGAGCCAGGAGGCCCAGGTGCCTGCAGAGGCCGGGCCTTGACCACCACACCCGGGTCAGGGTCTGATCCACAAGCCCCACGGGATGGCAGCCAAGGGGAGGCTCCCAGGATTGAGCTCTCCAGGGGGAACCCCAGCTGGAGGGAGCAGAGCCTGTAAACCTTGGGGTCAGTAATGGGGCTCTCAGGTGCCCTCTGACTGAGGGAGCTGGGGTTTCATGGTGGGGTAGATTTGGGGTCCCTCAGGCGGAGGCAATCTGCACTAGGAAGACCAGGGCTTCTCAGGTGGGGTACAGTCAGGGTCCCTCAGGCTGAGGCAGCTCGCCCTGCGGAGACGGGGGCTTCTCCAGTGGAGGAGACAGGGACCCCTCAGGCTGAGGTAATGGGCACTGCGGAGTCTGAGTTCCCTGGGTGGGAGACAAGGGGCCATTTGGGCTCCTCAGGATGGGGTATAGGAGACCCTCGGTGGAGGAGACAGGGGACCCTGAGGCTGAGGCAGTCCGCGCGGGGAGCTGGGGGTCCCTCGGG